ATTCCCTGACTGCCCACGCTTTGTGACTTCTGGGGTATTTAACAAAAAATTTAACTGTAACCTTTCATTTAGATCTGCTGATAGAAAAATAGGATATTTGAGAAAAAGCCAAGCGGAGGTTGCAAAAGGAAGAATATGTTTTCAGTCACAGGACACAAAGCCATTAATATATCTATTGCATGCATCAAAAGCTAGGGTTAGTACTCCAGTTTTTTATTCTACTGCCACGCTTTGTGAAATCTGGGGTATTTAAAAAATTAAATCTCAAGTAGAATAAAGGAATTGAGAAAAAAAGCAAGTGATTGCAAAGGGTTAATGTCACTCACAGGACTATCATATCCTTTTGCCACTTACTAGTTGTGTGACCTAGGGTCAGTTATGTAACTTCTTTAAGCCCATTTCCCCATTTGCAATATGGAGACTTATAAAATCTTCAAAGGATTCTTTTTCTAATTAACTGAGAATAAGTATGTATGTAAAAGCACCTAATATAGTGCCTTTCCTCATCACAGCCAGAATATCAGTTTTTTTCTTTTTTCTTTTCTTTTTTTTTTTTTGAGACAGAGTCCCACTTTGTTGCCTGGGCTAGAGTGCCATAGCATAAGCCTAGCTCACAGCAACCTCGAACTCCTGGACTCAGGCAATCCTTCTGCCTCAGCCTCCCAAGAAGCTGGGATTACAGGCATGTGCCACCATGCCCAGCTAATTTTTTCTATATAGTTTTAGTTGGCCAATTAATTTCTTTCTATTTTTAGTAGAGACAGGGTCTCACTCTTGCTCAGGCTGGTTTCGAACTCCTGACCTTGAACAATCCTACCACCTCGTCCTCCTAGAGTGTTAGGATTATGGGCGTGAGCCATCGTGCCCGGCCCAGAATATCAGTTTCTTGACTGTAAAATGAATGAGTTGGATCTGGAAGTTAACTTCCTAGTCCCTACCATCTCAACTTGCCATTTTAAATGTAAATGGTTAATTTTAATTAGAAATATACTTTTGAAAATGAAATATTTATTTATTGGTTTATTATTGAAGGATTCTGATAGAGAATTTTTGATGAGTTTTAGAAGGCTTTAAACATTGTTCTTATGAATAAATTGTAATTGTAGTAGACTAATTTGAGAATTAAATGAAAGTATGCCTGAAGGAAACTATTCATATTTGAAGAAAATATGGAACATATGAAATACTGGGATGGAATATTCAAGGAACAGAATCTAGGCTAATCAGTATATCTGTATTATAATGACTGACAGTTTAAAATGCATGGAGTATTCTGTGAAGGATGATAACTAGCCTTTTCCTTATCTTCACTGAGGCTTAAATTCTAGCAAGAATTTTTAGTTTAGAAAAAGAGAAATTACCAGGACTCTTCCAAGTCTATATTCTGTAAATGCTATCTTTTCCATATAAAGACATTTACAGATTTTATTTTTCCCTTTAAGGGTTTCAGGATTATCAGAGGCTTGTGTAGTTTATGGATATTTT